TTACTTTTTCTCTGACAGAAGAAATCGTGCTGTATGATGTGAAAAACATCATGAGACATGTCTATAAAAGGCTACACAACCAAGACAACACAAAGCTCAATGCTTTCCTGAAGTAAGTTTAAGTTTTCCACAGTCTGTAGTCTGTGTTATATGTGCCTGGTTTCACTGCTGCCCGTGGATGGTTTCACCAACAGATTTTATACTAGACTAAAATGTAGAGCCAGTCTCAATGCAAACATGTTTTCTCATCTACGTGCACTTCACTAAGGCTGGTGTGCCAAATGTCTTACATCTTGCAAAGTTGTGTGGCCAGTCCATTTACCATTCCTGTCTGACAAGACAGGATATATTTTCCTATAAAGAAAACGTGTAATATACTGTATTTACTGTAATGTTTTGCCCCTCACCCACCCACCAGCTAATGGAATAAGATGCAGCTACCTGGCTGCCCAATCTAAATTTGAGCATTTATTTTTCTCATTGAGTTTGTGTGGAGTTGTGAAGTGAGAGGGGTCACTGGTTTTTCAAGTGCTTTTTGTCATTCTGTTTTCCCATTTCAAGTTTTTTTTTTTACCATATAATTAATATTACAACACAGAAACATGATGTATTGGTCCTGTAACTTTGTGTTATGACCACCACTTGTGTATTTCTGTTTTTTTTAAATAACATTTTGTGCATTATTATGGCATAGCAGACTGGTCTAAATACTAAAATACTCATAAGCCTCAGCTGCTGTTCCCATGAGTCAGCGGCACAAATCTAAATGGTGATGATCTCAAAACACTGACATTATTGCTGAGAAGACAACCTGGAGCTATAGCTGCTCATTCCTTTTAAAACTGATAAAGAATTTAAAATGACTAATTTACAGTAAGCTTTGAACTGTGTTTTCAGTTTTCCTCAATGCTGCCATGTTTTAAGCCTTGTTTGCTGTTAGCAGCTCATGTGGCAGAGTTTTAATCTTGGTGAGAGGATATTTCTGCCAAAATGCATGTTGCTCTGAGTAGCCTCTTGCATTTCAGCAATTATAAGAAAATGTTAATAAAAAAAAATATTACCACAGCTTTAAATTATGCATGTGAGCAGGTTGTTCAGAGAGGAATATCAAATTTTGAACAATTTTTTGCCAGGTTGTTCAGAGAGGGATATCTGACAAATTTTGAACAATTTTTTCCAAAATTAATCATTTAACCCCCATTTAAACTCTTTGTACAACAGGACTAAAATCAGTGATTTGGAGACAGACAAGAAGGAGCTGGTTGGTGTCTTTGGTAAAACTGGGGCTGGAAAGAGTTCTCTCATAAATGCGATCATTGGAGAGAAGGATCTTTTGCCCTCGGGAACTGTCAGTGCATGTACCTCAGTCATGATTAAAGTGGAGACTAACATGCACAGCCTGAAGTATGAGGCAGAGATTGAATTCATTACTAAAGAGGTAAAATGAGCTGATTATGTTTATGTTGACTTGAAGCTGGCTTGAAAAGTGACAATATACGGTATCCACAGAAATACAGTTTGTTTACTCTACATGCCATTTAATTTAATTATTAAATTCTTTTCCTTTTTAGGAGTGGAGAGATGAGTTGTGGTCCTTGTACCATATTCTTGGGGATAATACAGATCAAGAACAAGATGATGAAGATGAAGATGATGACAAGGACGCTGTTGAAAAGCTGTCAGCATTGTATGGAGAAGATATTGGAAGAGATTGGAAAAACGCATCCCTCAAAATCCTGATGGATGACAAATATTTCAGAGAAATTCCAGAATTTCTCAAATCCAAGCCGAAGATTTTGACCTGTAAATCAGTAAGTAAGATTTTAAAACCTCTTACTTGCATCACTTCATAAAAAGCATTCTTGCCCGTTTGGTAGAGTAGATGATATGGATCTAAGGTTTTCAGCCTAGTCATTCTAGTTTGGTTTAGTTCAACAGTCATTTAACACATGTAAAAGGATAAGGATATGTACTTTTTTAAAACAACAGCTGACTTGATGTAACTGCTCAGTAACTAGAGAAACATTAAATTATCCCTTTATAGGAAAATCACT